TTAAGCCCATGGCAGAAATGTATGAGACTCTTCCATTTTATAATGCTCCTATTGGATCTTGCTTTTCCTCTTTAAGACTGTCTTCTGTGAATTTATATTCTTAGATGAGTAGTACACTTACTGTTTTCACTTCTTTAATTTTCATTTACTACTGTTTTCTAATAAAATTTGCAGCACCATTTCTCTACCAACATTTCTGCCACCAAACAACATCAAACCTTCATTCACAATGCTACTACTAGGTATGCACACAAAGGAAATAAAGTCAGTATATCAAAGCAATACCTGCATGCCTATGTTGATTGCAGAACTATTTTCAGTAGCAAAGATGTGAAATAAGTCTAGATGTCTATCAAGGAATAATTGTGACAAATTTATAAATGCAATATTATTCAGCTCCCTAAAAGAAAAGATGAAATCCTGTTTTTTGTGGCAACATGGATGTAACTGTAGGACATTATGCTAAGTGAAATAAGTCAGGCACAGACAAATACTATATGTTCTTATTCATTTATGGAAGCTATAAAAGCTCATCATGTAGAATAAGGAAGTAGTATAGAGGTTACCAGAAGCTGAGAAAGTAAAGTAATATTTGAGGAGATTGAAATGTTAATTACCATGATTTGATTATTGCATGTTTTCTATATTTGTAGAATCTAATACTGTAACCCATAAAAAGTACAAATATTACATATACATATAACAATGGAAATAGGTGAAATTTTAAAAAATGTTTAAAAAGGAAAAGAAGAAACCTTTACTGTGGAAGAGATATTTATGTTTCAAGAAAGCTACAGAAAGCATGATATAGCTTGTGTTTTGGTCAGCTTTTTTTCTGCTGTGACTAAAAGATCTGACCAGAGCAATTTTACAGGAGAAAAGGTTTCTTTCAGAGCTCATGGTTTAAAAGGTCTTAGTTCAGTTTAGAAGGCTGGCTGCATTCCTTGGGGCTCTACCTGAGGCTGAACATCATGGTAAAAAAATGTGGCAGAGGGAAGCAGCTCCCATAGTGGTCAGGAAGCAGAAAGAGAGGTTTCTACTCACTAGATACAATTACACTGAAGCCACACCCCAATGCCCCACTACCTCCATCTACACCCTACCACTTCAGTTAATCCCTACCAGGGGATTAAATCACTGATTGGGTTATGACTTCTACAACCCAATCATTTCTCCTCTGAACCTTCTTGCATTGTCTCATATGTGAGTTTCCGGGGACAGCAGACATCCTAACCATAACAGCTTATAAATGTAAAGTCCACGATTACAAGATCTTTCAATCACAGACTTTCTAGGTCAAAAGATATCAGACAAAAAAAAAAGTAAAAAGTTTTCATATTCCAAGCACCATTCTGGATAGATGTGAAGAAGAATGATGTCAGTAAACAGAGGAGACCAATTAGTTTGGCACAATAGGAAGGAGAAGGATAGAGGTGAGGGCAGCAGATTCAGAGGCAGCTTTGTCAGAAAGTCATCATCAGATCTAGTCACTTTTCAGTCAATATCTTATTGGATTTTTTTTCTGCCTTTTGAATATTGGTGTGATAAGTTTTTGTTTTGGGCCAATTGATTTTCACACTGGAAAATGAAAGCCCTCTTTCATGTACCCCATGTCTCACAGCCAATCCATTTTTAAGAGTTGCCATTACCCCCATTTATATGGTATGGTTTATGGTTCCACTGTCAGTTATCAATATTGTAAAGTCTAAACCTTCCTTTGGATCATATTTTTTTTTATGTGCTGAATGCTTTTAGTGTTTTAAACACTAGGCTAACAGTTTATGCGTACCATCCCAAATCTCATATGATCCTTACAACATCCTAATAAGAGGATCTGTCATTGTGTGAACTTTACTAATGATGACAGTGCCAGGTGGTCACCTCGGTTGGTCTGGTTCAGGAGCCCCACTGGTCACCTCTGCATGATATTGGTTGTCCTACTGCAAAGAGTTGCTCTGTTGTCTCTTCATTCATAATGGTGATATTTTGGTTCTCATTTCCCCCATTTTTTTTCTTACATGTGTCAAAATAATCTTTTTGGAATGCAAAGTAAATACTGTGTCTCTTGCTCCACATCACTCAGCAGCCTAAGCCCAAGTAGCTGCATCTCTGCCTGCATCACCTCAATATCTGTGATTTAATACTAGAGGTTTATGTCACTGCCCTCAACAGCTTATTTTCATTTTTCACTATCTTTTCTAAGAACACTTTTCCTTAAAACACCCCTTTCTAGATTACTCTCAATTTCCATCTCTTCCAGGGAAATAGCCTTTAGCTTTTAACTTGAGTTGTGTCCCAAACCCAGTTGTTTTGGGGAAAATATTGCTTGTTTCACCTAAAGAAAGTCTTCTCATGTCCTCTTTCATCTTCCTTTTTCTGAGAGATCTTAGTTCAGATTCTTATCATTATTAGTTCGGTTTAAAAACAGTTTCAAGATAAACTCTGCTTTTCCCAGATTCCCATTCAGCAAAGGTTCTCAAAAGTCAAGGAGCACAAACATCATCTGAGAAGCTGGTTTGATTGTAGATTCTGTGGTCTCAACCTCAGAGAATCAGAGGTTCAATGAGCATGTTATGAGAAGAAGGTGTCACCTTTTCATAAGTATTCAAGCTCCTTCAACACCCCATGGTCCTTGGAGACAAACTATTCTATGATATCTGTAAAATGTTCTAAGAGTCAGATATGATCCATCTTGGCAAGTTCCTTTTTAGTCTAGAATATATTGTAAAAGTAATGACATATGGCATAAAAATATCTGCACAGTTTTCAATCTGCCCTTGGAAGAACATTTTCTTGCACTTTGTCCCCATCCACTCTTTACTTCCTCCACCTCCTCTGATCCTGCAGCTTTTCATACCACAAACACTCTGTGCTTCAATATGTCAGTTGTTTTCTATTTTGGTTTTTAATGTTCCCTCTGCCCACCTCCAGCACCTTCTGAATCATTCTCTAATTAGTTAACATTTACCAATCCTTCAAGTTGCATTTCAACAACCACTTTTATGAAAAAAACATGGGACCCTCATCGCTATCCTTCTCTCACCTCTCTCTCCTTACTGTGGCCAAATGAATTGTTCTCTGTCAGCAAACTTTTTAACATCTCTCAAGAATGATCCTGAAACTATGAGAATTCTCACTCGTTGACTGATGCCTCTTGGAATAGGGAGTCTAAAATTGAGAGATCTGATAAAATTCATATTATATTCCCAGGCCAGATATTGCTTTTGACTGATTTTGACCATTTTTTAAACTTTCCTCAAACATGAATATCTCTTTCCGCAAGCACAAGCAGTTTTTAAGTGTGAAAAGAGAAATAATGCGACAGGGACCTATGTATATTCATGACAGCACATGGGAATTTTTTTTTTCAAAATACTTAAACTTTTTCAATTCCAAATAATATTTTAGCTTCTTTTTCACTTCAGGAAAAATCATATCTAAGCCTAGAACAATGTCATTATCATGTTGGGACTTAAACATTGCTGCAGTAACCTCTATGTTCTCTGTTCAGCATTGTTCATTATTTTCAAATCTGACAGACTTGGCACTTTAGGGTACTATAGTCTCTAGTGACATAATGTGGGAAGAAATTAGAGACACAAATAAGTCACACACAGTAAGGCAAACAGGGTCACTCTCTTCCCCCTGGCTTCTTCTTTCACCCCCCACTCCACACTAATCCAGGCAACAAACTGTATTTTAAGTTATTAGTTTAAATCCAAGTGAAAATTGTGTTTTCTCATTAAAAACATAATTTTGTGAAATAAACATTTTATTATCAGAACCTTTTCTAATTCTTATTTAGATTCCACTTCCTAGTGTTTTAAAATTCATCACCAATCTTAAAGTTGTCAACACACTTTTCTGGAGTTGTGCAAGGAACATAATAGTCTTGTTTTCTCAGCATAAGAAGAGAGATGGGTGGGAAGATATGTGAGTAATCACTTTCTGGGGGATATGTTAAAGTTAAGTGAGAACAGTTCTTAAAATATAAATTGCAAATTATTTGGCTGAAATACATTGCAATTATATTGTTCAATGAGGAGAATAAAAAAATGACTGCTTATAACAATAGTGTAAAATAAATGAGAAAGTACAGGGACTGTATTATTCAGCCATCATATTTGGAAAGTTAAGAAGGCCAGTACTTAAATATTAACAGATTATTAGTTACTAAAAAGCTGTGCATGATTTATCCTTTATCTCACAACTCAGAGATCCTATTGCCAGGATAGTGAGGCAGGGAGACATTTTTAAGAGCTCTAGGTTTCACTGATATTACAAGTACAGCACACACACACACACACAAAAAAGGGCTGAATGCTGATCAGCATCCACTCCTAGGGCTAGGGCTGTTCACCTCCTTAGGATGATATGGAAGGTTACTTTCCAATTTGGAAAATTTAATGCACCCTATGTTCCTTGAAACCATTGTGCCAAATCTGTTTAAAAGTCCTGATACCATTTAGTGTAGAACTGGAAAGATTCTGATCTAGACTGTCTCTTAGGGTCTTTCTGAGCCACAAAGAGAATTATGATCACATTGAACATAGTAAAGGAATACCCAAATTGTCTTTTTAATTATACAATCATCCTTATTGCTTTAAAATGAAGTTCCCCCACACACTTTTTTTTTCTTTAAAGAGACATTTCTCTGGCACTTCAGTTTCTTAGCCACTCGTTCTGCCATATGACGCTCTTGTCAGGGTTTCTGATTTCTTCAGGAAATTAAGCTAGAGAGCATGTACAGCAAACAATAAAATAGCTGCTTTCCTTTGAAAATAAATAGGAGCTGCTTTACTCCCCTCACCACGACTTTCCACCATTGCTCCATCACAACTTCTGGAGAAAATCCCATTGGCGACGCCCCCCATTCCCACCTCCACCCACCCATCTCTTCCTCAGCAGATCTGCTGTGCTTCAGAGCTGTCTGGGAACCCAGCTCTCCTGCTCTTCTTCAGCGCCCGCTTCCAACGGCACTAGGACCCAGCGAAGTCCCTGAGCGAGGTTCGCGGAAAGGCAGCCAGACTCCTCCTTATCTCCAGTGTCAAACTTGACATCAGCCTGCGAGCGGAGCATGGTAACTTCTCCAGCAATCAGAGCGCTCCCCCTCACATCAGTGGCATGCTTCATGGAGATATGCTCCTCTCACTGCCCTCTGCACCAGCAACATGGATTGTCACCTCTCCATCCTCCTCCTTCTCAGCTGCTCTGTTCTCAGCTGCCTGGGGGAACTGACTCTCCAGCCTTCCAATGAAGGTAAGCCAGGTAGGCGAGCGCGCAGCCCGGCCCGCGGGCAGGCTCCTCGGAGCACGTTCTCACCCAAGCCTTTGCACGTCACTAAGGTGCCTCGGAATAAGGCAGTTGGCTCTGAGAGTCAGCGGAATATGTGCTTTTATTTTCGGATGTCTTTTAAAACACTTTGGGAGATAATTTGGGATTGGCTAAATCTTCGGAATGTGTTTTTAATCTGATCCCAATTCAAGCAAATTACCTTGTTGGCCAATTTGAAGCAGAAAGAAAGAAAAAGAAAATCCTTCAGTTTTACAACCCAGCACGTTAATTGCCAAATAGCCAAGGCAGTATTTTATTTTCTAATTATGACCATGTGGTACTCTGAGAAGTTTAACAGAAATCTCAGTTCTTTTTAAACATCTTGTGTAGAATGTTTAAAAGCATGACAGGTTGTCCCTACTTTAGAACTGGCATTTATGAATGGATTAAAGGGAAATCAGTTTGTTGAAGCTGTGTGTGTGTGTGTGTGTGTGTGTGTGTGTGTGTGTGTGTTACAACTGCTGTATTAAAGTGATGTGCATCCCGCCAGGCAATGGTTTGCTCTATGGTACAGGTTCTAATGAGCAGCATATGCCACATTAACATAAGTAATATTTGCAGGAATTTACAATAAGCATAGGTTGGATTCTTTTTGTTTACCGTCTTGTATACAAATAGGAGAATGCATTTAATGATTAATGGATAGCTTCTGGGTAGATGTAGTAAATAACTGAATAACAAATGAAGAAACAATGTTCATATGCAGCAAATGGTATTTCCTTTATGTTGGATTATTTATTTTCCTTGTAATGGGCATTCATTCTTTTTCTATGGAACAAAGTGCAAACCTAACATTAAGAACAACATTTTTTTTCTTATAGGATTATGTGCTTAATAGATATGTTGCCTTTTTCCTGTATGCTTTTTGCAATCTATTCCTAATGATTTGTGAATACAATTACTAACTCTTAAGACAGACTTCCCTGAATAATTGATTACTTTACAGCAACACTTACAACTTTGATTTCCTCTTAATGATTTTGAATGTATAACAATAGCATTTAACAATTTATTTTTCAAGTATCAGTGCTGAGTAACTGATGTACGGACACCACATTAGACATATATCATTTACCAAAAGTCCAAATTGCTGAGCCAATACTGTTGCATATTAGATACATTATTTAAAAAGCACAAGTGAAAACAAAATATTTGTAAACTTTTTCATTAAATATAAAAACTGCCTCTCCTGTTTGGTGACCTACTTTCACTGCTAACAGAGCAGTTTGATTTCTTTCTTAGACTGCTTTTATCAATTTGGCAGATTTTGTTAATGTTTATATGGCTTTAATACAGAAATTGAAAATTCTAAAATGTGAGGACAAAGAAAATAACCTTGTCCTTAAATGACTATTTTTTTAACAAGCCAAATTAAAATGTTTATTTGAAAGTAACTGTTAATCATTCTTCATAAATGAAAGCCAAGAATAGTCACTTATATAATGAATAACATATCCAGTAAGTTAAACTTGGTGTTTTTAGAGATTTTTTTATCTCTTTGAAGATACTCACATATGGATAATAACTAAAAAATTGTATTATTTTTACACATTACTATGATACATTGTATTTTTCAAATAAAATGTATATAAACTCATTAAGTAATGAATATTAATTAATAATGTACAGAAACATAGCTGAGAATCATTTTTGTGGAAAAATGTAACCTTTCCATAAATTGCAAAAGATAAAATGACCCTTTACTCTTATTCACACCTATGTAAAATTAATGAATATTAATTTAATGAGACAGAATAATCATGTGCTAATTGATTTCAAGCCACACCTTGTGTATGTTTGGGTATATAATGCATATAATTATACAGAAAGGTACACATTAACAATATGAACATAGGAAGGTAAATAAACTCAGAAATAGACATAATTACATTTACTTTGCTTGGATAAAAGTTTATCTGTCTATTGTTAATGGGATTGTTCTTTCGAGTTTGTATACTATGGGGAATGGTTCCTTTCCCTTCTGAGATGATGAAAGGAAGGAAGCTTTAAAACAAAACTTAAAATGAATGATTTAACTTAGATAATATTTGAGTGGGGTTTTAAATATTAATCCAATAGTTTGGCTCTTAGTAGTTCAGTTGAATAGTATGAAAAGCAACGATTCCAAGTTTGTGCCAAGATTTCAGTGCAAATCCTCTAACAAAGTAAATTGAATAGACAGCAGTGCTTCTGAAAATTCATTTATGGGGTAAATGATAAAATGTATCATACTAATGTAGCTTTCTGGTACATTTTTTTAGAAACCAAAATGTAAATGTAAAATATTAGTTTGCCTTTCAAATATTATGCTTAAAATTATATTTTGACACTATGGAAAATGTGCTAGAAATTTACTATGGCGTATTTACTAGAATAAATTCTGGAATATATTACGAAGTTAGGTGTGATAGAAATAAAAGACCAAACCCAAACAAAGTTGTCCTTGTGAGGTTGTTTTAAAATTTTAAATTTGATAATTAATTATCAATATTAAACTGCCCTGAGTCCATGATAAAAAAAAAACTTAGAAAAAGTTTTTGAATTTTTCTATTCAGTAATTACAAATAACTTTTAATATGTTTTCAGGAAAATAATCCTAGATGATACTTTCTATCATTGATCATCTAAGTAATAATAGATATTCATAATTTCAATAATCAGTTAAAACAAAAACTGGTCTATACACTTAACCAGAACTTCATTAAAAAAACTAATCAAAACTACTCAAATCTAATCAAGTCTGATTCACAACATAAGAAAAGTCTTGCAATGGAAAATGAATTACTGTTTATGGCAAAATTTGAGTGCTACACCATTTTGATGGAAGAAATTTCACAGATTTGCTCCGTCTTTCCAGACTAGATGGATAGTTATAATGGTAAAAATAAATAAATGAACAACTTTGGAAAAGGATTAAAACTTAACATAAAGTTTTCAACTCTCACTAGTGCAACCTCTTTTAGAATTGGATGAAGCACTCTTTTAAAACACATTAATACTTTTGAAGCAATCTGAAGCTGGAATGCACTGTTTATTCATCAGTGTAGACTACACTAAATCATTTTTCTACCCATAAGTGTTCATAAAATTGTATTAACATTCACTCATAGAGCTCCTTGCATAGAAAATCAAAGTTTTCAAAATGAAAATGAATTAAATTAAATCCACATACTTATACACTACTTATATTGAAAGACTTTTTCATTTATTTTTTTAAATTTTTTTATTTGAGTGGCCAAGACATTGTTGCTATGAAATGCATTTCCTTGAACATAAATCTAAGTATTAAAGGAGACTCTATGTGTAAAGCTTAAAAGTAAAACTTGCAGATTAATTATATAGGCTTTCTTCTGAGGAGAAGTTAAGTGATAAAGGTAACAAATATTTGAACAATGGATTTCCCCCTTTTTTAAACTCACTATGAATCGTCATCATTTTTCATATTTATAAACACTTATCCTCAAATAAGGGTATACTGTGATTCAACCATTAATGCAGAAGTAAGCTATCATATCATCTTTATAGTGCTTTTTGTGAAGAGGACTTACAATTGCTTTTAATAGCATTTCTTCATGCTAGACTAAATAATTGAATGCATTATACATTTTTGTAATTTAATAGTTCTTCTAATAGCTTGCCACTACACCCCGCCCCCACCCATACACAACAGTTATAACTGCGCTATTTGCCTGAAGGTAGAAGAAACCTTAATTTCACTATTTTATAACCCACAACAGTTAACACTTGACCTAGGTCATTAACAGGATTATCAGCAAATTTGTTTAAGCTTTTACTGACAATCTGAATTGCTAGGATAATATTTTGATTGTGCTGAGAAGAAACTTCTTGTAACCTCTCAAAATCTATCATGAAATTAATTTATTCTGAATCTATATCTTCCAAAAAATAATATTGATAATACTAAATTCAAGTGGAGAAAATGTTCACTTTGAATCCCCATTTTCCTCATTTTTAGGTTTTACACTCCACATCATTTCAGTCCTTGTCATAAATGAGCAATTAAAATTCCTTTTAAATATCAGATGTTCTGTCAATAAAAAACAGATTTATAAATACAAAACAATTTTACTATAACTATCAACATTCTCAGTTTTATTTTATTTTTGTTTTTGTTTTTACTATTGGTACTATTGTTGATAAAATTTTTCTGCCCCTTTTCAAGGTAAAGAGTCAGTTGGATATATTTATAACTCAGAAGTGACTGGAACTATAAAAGGGAAACTACATATAATAAAATCCATTGCCACGTGTTAGATCATGGTTGTATTTTATATAAAGTTGTCTTTTACATGAAATACTAGAAATTGGGAGCAACCAATGAAAAACATATTAATACTATTATATATATATAACTTTAAAACAAAATATTATATATACTCATAACTAAAGTTATGTTTTAATGTTGTTTACTAGGCCTAGAAAGTTTCACACAAAGTTTTTTATTAATTGAATTCAATTATGATTGCTCCTTGCCATATATATGATTTAGTAGTTTTACCTGGACTCTTAATAAATTCTTTTTAAAAAATGGATTTAGTAAGATTCTTTATCTTTTTTCCATATTACTCATATTTGAATTTCAAATTTCTGTGCCTTCCTTAATGATCCAATCAATTTTAGTGCTTTTTTTTTTACAAAAAATTTTCTTTAAAAATATCCCTAGATGTGGGTTAAAGCATTTCAGAAACTTTGACATTCTTCTGAAATAAAATATATGCAATTTTTAAATATAAAATAATCAGTTACATATGCAAAGGATTTTTAAAGGCGAAACATATTTCCACAGTATATTTGATTTACTAACTTCAATGCAAATGGAAACAGCAAGAAGTGTTCCTGAGAGTTACATTTTCCAAGTCATAAAATCTTCAAGAAAATATTAATAAAACTTTCCACAAATCATC